TGTTTCCGAGTCAATTGCTGTACATTCACCAATCAAATAATTTGGAATAGGTGATGAAGAGTCTAATTTGCAGAGAGCAAATGTTTCACTCAAGGGGGGTATAATGATGTCTGAACTGGCCACTAAGGGATAATTAGTTGGAATAGTAAATTTCACTTCACGTTTTGCAATATCAATTTTCATTTCGTGTATTTTGATAAAATCCGTTCCTAATATGATGTCAAAGGGGACATTATCCATTATAAAAAAAGTATGTTGAATATTGGCATCATTCACGCCAAAGATCAGCCTAATGGAGCCTTTAATTTCCGAGCGAGCACCATTGCCACTTGTACTTCAGTATAAGGTGAATTTAATGTTGTAAATGAATGCGGAGATAATTTTGCTGAAAGATTCGAACTAATCAAAGAAATAGTAGCACCTGTGTCGATTAATGCAAAAATTGTTCCCAAAGTTTGAAGAGAAATCTTAATTAGACTGTCATGAAACATTTGTATCGTTGTTTCATTGAGATTAGTCGTCGTTCCTATATAAAAGGTGCTCGCTTGAGGTTTTGTTTGTGAAGATAAATCGTGTCCTGTCAATAACCTCTCTTTATTAACAGGATATTCTAGTTTAAAGAATTTTGATACTGTTTAGATTGATAGGGTTTATTTTGGCTCTGTGGATATTGCATGGCAGGGGGTTGATTCGATGGGTTACGTTTTGAAAAACAATTCCTTATCACGTGACCCAATTGCCCGCAACCATGGCATCTGATATTACTATTTCCTTGACTCCTATTTGATCGATTGCTAATATTTACCCTACAAGACATTTCTGTGTGGCCAATTTTCCCACAACGTTGGCAAATTGGGCGCATATTTTCCGTGCGGCCTTGAAACGATGATTTCGGATGCATACGACCCAATTCCGGTTTATGATTGATACGGTCCATTTTGCTTTCTATCGCACGCAATCGCGATTGATGATTTACTGACATTTCATTTATTTGTGAGCCGAAATCCCTCATTAATTCCAACATTCGAGTCTCAACATTTGAATTAATCAACGATACTTGGGGCGTAGAGTTAGAGGTTTTATCTATTGCCGCTATTTGATTAATACTTTCCCCTAACTTCGCTTTTTGTTCAGCAGTGTCTATGTCACCAGGGTCTTGACCTATAACAAAATTACGTATTGCGGGTCGTAAATTGGTAACAAAGATATCTAACCTTTCCTCTGCAGTTTTATTTAAATGTGAACATTTTAAATGAATGTCTGCTGCATAATCAGCTACTGATTCGTGTTCCCCTTGTTTGCGATTTAATAAAGTTTGTTGTAAGACCCATCGTGGTCTATTGTCGATAAATCGGGATTTGAATAAACCTTCTAATTCTGACCATTTGTTAGGTTGTGGATTTAATTCTGTAAACCAAATTTCTGCGGAGTCTTTTAGAAAATGGGGAAATATAAGGGCTTTCTTGGTTGAGTCCCAAGCATTGAGATTAGCATATGAATTGAATTTATTTAACCAATGTCTCGGATTAGTTTCGGATTCCTTACCAGAGAAATGATTGGGTTTTATACTTGCGTATGCCATACTCTTTGATGCAGCCGGGACAGAAGCCTGTGCGTTTTCCGGGATTGGGAACAATGCCATGGCTTCGTCATGGCTTTTTCTCATTTCCAACTGTGCCTGTCTCTGTATGTCCATCATTTCCTCTAGATCCCTAATTTTCTTACCCAATTGGGAATTCCTATCTACGTTCTCACTGAGTTCAGTTATTTTTTTCATTTAGTGTCTCCCCCATCTGTCTGTCGCCCTCCAATTGTCTTAATCGGTCTTCTACTGCCTGGTTTCGTGTGCTCGTAGATGTCATGTTGTTTTCCTCCGATTAACACCAATTACCCGGCTGCTCCACCAATTGTTGTAGGGGTTTTCTTCTTAGATTCAGGCCCACCCCTCAATTATTTTATTTCAAATATATTACCCGAGGATCGTGGTGTGATCGATTACTCACAACAGACCAAGCATACCCTTTAGAACGTCCAACTGTATCAGATATTTTATACGTTCACACAAAAGAATAACATAAGTTGATGTAATAGGCACTTTATTTATTTATAAAAAGAAATGATAAATTAAACAAAACGTATTTTATTTCTGATCTCTTCTTGTAAATATTTCACATTAGTAACACATGTAATTCACATCAATGGTGCAGATCTCGATTGATTGATTCGACTCTCTAGGTTGTGATCGCGATCGACAAATATTTATAATCTTCCGAAAATAAAGCATTTAAATGTATCCATTGAGAAAATAATCCATTAAAGATTCTAACTCCCACACTTCTTAACTTCCCGAAAACGCGCTCCCCCAAAATTTTATAAGTCAAAATCTGTTTCCCGTTATTCCCTTGTATTGTGCCCTCAAGGTCCGTTCCCAATTCTCCGTTCTCCGTTCTCCCGATTCAAACTAAACTTCCATTTATATACCCATAAAAGATGCTATTCTTAGCCATGATTTGCGTGATGTATGAGATTTATAAATATCTAGGAATGAATCATAATTGGAAATGATTCATCTTATGGTAAATATCAGAGAGGATGCCCTATGTAAAATTGGCGGTAAATTTGAATTAAATGAATATTCAAAGATTTGAGTTTTTAAGTTACAACATAAGCCTTCATATAATCCAAAGATTTTTATTATAAATTTTAAATTAATTGTGTTGGGATCAATAATAAGGAAATTCAAGAATAAGGGAAATTAAACTGACCATATCATTTGAATCAAAGAACATCAACATTATACATAATAAAAAAAACATCAGAACTTTCTATTCCGAGTCATCTACCGCTCTAAGTTTATGTAGCTGAAAAGTATATATGTAAAATATGTGCAAAAATTATGTTTTGTTGTTTTGTTTATTCTCTTACCTCATACTTCTACAAAAATAACACATTCCAACTTTGAGTATATAAGAACACGCCTATATATTGCTATGTCTGACATGTAGTGTGTTAGGTCCACCTCTCCCCTCACTTTGATGTGATGTGTGTAGTGTCAAAGATCACACACTGACATCCTCCACTCTGACACCATATAATAGATGACACCTCTATTAAGAATCTCCAAGTCAATTAAGAACAAAAATTAGGTCACATATCCATATGTCTTATAACTCTTATGATGAGTAGTCTGCCTTTTATCTAGAGTTGTAAATATACTTTATGAAATGCTTATCTAAGACAGACAGGTGTAGGTTTATGTAATCAGAGGATAGGTATTCTTCTTTCATATTTTGCAAACAACAGCTTTAGAAAGGGAGCAAGGGCCATACCTAGGAAAGGAGGCAGAGGTTGCATCTAGCTGAGAGATTTCTCCTTTAGGAGACAATGGGATGTATTTGATATACCAACTTATGTGTAACATCACATGGCATCACCTAAACCACCAACCCTAACGCTCAGCCTAAGAAGTAACAGATTCTGTAGAATGATATGATCAAATGTTTTTTGTAGTCCAGTCTAAGTTGTACTCATACTTTAAACTTTACTTAAGATAAGTCAGGTTTGTATTTTTGTAATGTTTTGTTTGATCATGACACATATGTTGCCATAATTATAGAATAATACAACATGAAGAAGTTTGATTTACACTTTAGAAGATAGCGTTTAAACCTTAATTTCTGATGTAAGAAAAGTTAAAATTTAACGCAGGTACTTAGACATGTTCATATTTCATTATGATATTTAACATTATGCACTGTACATCCCAAAATGCAGTTTACATCCCAAAATGTAGTTTACATCCTAAAATGCAGTTAACATCATACTGTTCTGATGCAGTCAGTTTCAAGGAAGTAAACCATTTTTAAAAGGCAAAGTAACAGAAAAGAATACTTTAGTCATGTAATCTTGTTAACTAACTGGACAATGCTAATACCAAAGTGGGGAGCACAAAAAATATAAAGTAGAGCTTATAAAGACAATATATGTAATTTAATTTTTGATTGATAAAATATAATATGGATAGAAAAAACATTACTATGATATTTGGAAAAAGTCATACTCTTAAAGAAATTCAAGAAATATCTTGTGAAGTTTTAACATATTTAAGCACTTTTTTTTATCTTGGCCTACTTAAGTGGGCAGTGTGAAGTAAGGTTCCCAGAAACCCTGTGTTGTAAATACTTATGTAATCTGACCCTGAGTTATAAGGCTCTTATTTTGTGGTGTTCCACTTTGTTGACAAGTTAGGTTTAATTACACCATTTTACATTGTTTTATATGTTACCACACAAAAGAGGTGAAAGTTGACCAATTTCAATGTTTATGGCATCTGGGTTGTAAGTGGTCGTGTTGAAAGACTGGAATTTTAATCTGTTTTACTTGATTTTTCAATTGTTTCAGGTGACTGTTTTATGGTTAACTTCAAATGTCTCTAGGTACATGTTAAACAGCAGGGGAAAATTGATTGTTACAAAGCATTTTGACAAAAGGTTCATAATGGAAGATTTTGTGCCTGAGTAACACTTCAAAAATCTTTCTTTTCGTAGTTTTTTTTGTCAAAATGCTTCCTAATGAAGCAATTAAATCTGTGCTGTAACTCTAACTTTAGTCCATAAAATACTAATCGGGACATATGAGTATGAAAAATGATTTCACATTGTTGTGAATAGCTCTTGTGTGTATTTAAAGATGGCAGGATCATATAATAGAATGCGTTTTTAAAAAACCTGTCCATTTCACCTCTATAAGTAACAATTTTTTCTAAACATTGGAGTATGTCATGTACATGTACAGTAAAACTTGTATCTCAAAACACCTCTCTACACATGGATTTGCTTCTCTTGGTCCTTTTTTCAGCTGCCTTGATATATGAATACATGCTATTCTGAACATTTTTGGCTGGTCCCTGAGAGGCATTTGGATGACCAAGTTTTACCGTGTAACAGTTTTTACTTTAGAATGCAGTATTATTCATTTTGTGTCGATTTCTGTGTTTCCAGGTGCCGTATTGATATTTCTCCCTGGTTACGATGAGATTGTCACCCTCCGTGACATGATACTTGCAGATGAGGACCGTTTCCCAGACAACAGCAAGTGAGTGCTACTTACTACATTCATATTTCAAATCTAATAGACCTTTGAATAAGCATCTTTTGCCCTTTGATCAGAATTTACCAGCCAGCTACATGTTGTCATTTAGTGAATGTTGCGATATTTCAAAATAACATTGCTAATTTTGAACGTAAAGGCTAGAGTACCGACAATTGTCGGTACTCTAGACTCTGATGTGGTGGCACGCTAGAGGACCGACAAATAAATTGTCGGTACGGGAGATATGCTGTGTTTACACGCTAGAGGACCGACAAATATTAATTTTCGAATTTTCTGGCGCATGCGCAATGCGCGGGGGGATATTTCAGATATCATACGGATATTTTGGGAACAAGTGCAAAACCAGGGGAGGGCATTAGCCCCGGTTACCCGTGGATTACCAAACCCAGTCAAAAAATGGTAGCCCGGGAACAGGGAATGGTAGTAAACGTTGAAAGGCCCAATAAAAAACATGAACAAGTAAGACGTTAGAGAGCTATTAATACAGAGTAAACGGCTATATATATTATAAACAGACAGGATATTTCTCCTGAGCCGATCAGGCGTAGAAAGGGGCGTTTGCTACCCATTAGATAGAAGAAAATAGCTAGAATGTTTTTTATTTGAAGCTTATGGTATGAGGTTCCATATCCATCCGCCAAAAGGTATAACCCCTATATAGTCCATTTAAAAACCTGTGGTATCGTTCTAAATAACCCATAGTTGGCTTCTCTTTCTAGGGTACCTAGTATTCCACTATTTGGTGTCAAAATAAAGAGGAGTTCAACTTTCATTTGAATTACGAAAATAGCGATGTAGGTCAAAATAGTTCCGAACGTGAGCATGTTTACTACGCGTTTGCCCGTCATATCAGAATTGAGGAAGTGGTAGCAAACGCGAGTTACAATAAACGGACGCTGATATCTCAAAAGTAACCTGACTCCCTATAATTTGATGTAGGTCAATCAATTGAACCCCTATATGGACAGGTGCATTTTGATATATAACACTATGGGGGGTAAGCGTTTCATAGTTGGTCACGAACGCCATATGTGCAAAGCATTGTTATGAATTTTCGAATTTGGTGTTGGATTACGGTTACCTTATAGCACATAGTTTGATGGAAGTTGCATTTGGCTCCCTTAGTTAATGGCCACGATTCCATCTCGCATGAGAGAGCTACCAAACGCAAAGTAAACAGTGATATATTCCAAATGAGATATTTCTCCTGTGCCATGGCGTAGTAAGGGTAGAGAGCGACGGGGGCGAAAGCATCCCCTCCCCTAACTGTATATATCGACCCATTAGATAGAACAAGAAAAGAGCTTTAAAATGTTTTTTAATTGAAGCTTGTAGGACAATTTTGATGGAAGTTGTATCAATTTTTGTCGAAATAAATTATGGCTCACTACAAGTTAATGCCTGTACGATTCCATACTGCAAAAGAAGCACTATGCCCCCCCCCCCTCAAAAGAAAACAGTAGGTCTTGCCGGGATTCGAACTCGGGACCGAGTGTGTTCGAGTCGTGCTCGCTAACCACTAGGCTACCAGTGATGAGGTTATCTCAAAAGTAAAAGTAGTGCATTTATTTATGAAATTGTCGGCTCTCTATCAAAAACACGTAGCAGCCACTTGCGTACCGACAATTGTCGGTTCTCTATCTGGCACTACTAGTTGACGATAGAGTGCCGACAATTGTCGGTACCCCAGCAAATACCCCTGGACAGTCTCCAGTACCGACAATTGTCGGTCCTGGAGCCACTCCGAATTTTGAAAGACATTTCTTTGAGTTTAATTTGCAATGCTACACAAACAATGCCATAGTGAATCTTGGCAATACGTCCTGGTTAACCTAATGTAGCAAAAGGTGATCTCTTTATATCTCTTATGTTTTCGCCCCAACTGAAATCAAAATTGTGAAGTATAACTCACTAGTGACAATTAGAGAATTGTCATTTATATGAGTCCTTAATGTCATTATTTCAAGATATTCTTTCTTTGCCACTTTATTTTTCATTGTTTAGTGTGGTCCCTTCATTATCGTTGACTAGTGCGAAGATCTGATTAGGTTTTGGGCATTCTGGGTAATTAACATGACAACCATTTGCTTTTCAATGTGCAATATTTATCCCATTCTGTGTCTTGTTCGCTATAAACATGACATGTTACAATTCTTTGGTTATTTCTAGGTACATCTTGTACACACTGCACTCTGTGTCTTGTTCATTATAAACATGACATGTTACAATTCTTTGGTTATTTCTAGGTACATCTTGTACACACTGCACTCTGTGTCTTGTTCATTATAAACATGACATGTTTTAATTCTTTGGTTATTTCTAGGTACATCTTGTACACACTTCACTCTGTGTCTTGTTCATTATAAACATGACATGTTACAATTCTTTGGTTATTTCTAGGTATATCTTGTACACACTGCACTCTGTGTCTTGTTCATTATAAACATGACATGTTACAATTCTTTGGTTATTTCTAGGTACATCTTGTACACACTGCACTCTGTGTCTTGTTCATTATAAACATGTCCTGTTACAATTCTTTGGTTATTTCTAGGTACATCTTGTACACACTTCACTCTGTGTCTTGTTCATTATAAACATGACATGTTACAATTCTTTTGTTATTTCTAGGTTCATCTTGTACACACTTCACTCTGTGTCTTGTTCATTATAAACATGTCCTGTTACAATTCTTTGGTTATTTCTAGGTACATCTTGTACACACTTCACTCTGTGTCTTGTTCATTATAAACATGACATGTTACAATTCTTTTGTTATTTCTAGGCACATCTTGTACACACTGCACTCTGTGTCTTGTTCATTATAAACATGACATGTTACAATTCTTTGGTTATTTCTAGGTACATCTTGTACACACTGCACTCCTCCATGCAGTCCTCCGACCAGAGAAAGGTATTCAAAACAGTGCCACCTGGTGTGCGAAAAATAGTAAGTATTTCTATTAAAACCATATGTCATGTCTGTGGGTTTGTTTTTAGTGAAATGTTTGGTGCTACGATCCTTTAATGATAAAATTGACTTTCTGGAAATTCTGAGTTTTTAGGTTATTGAGAAATGAAGTGAAGAATCATAAGGAGCAAAATATTGAAGTTCATTTAAAGCATACACTATAACATTGAGTTACATTACCAAGAGTGAAAATTGTTTTTTTAATCTGAACCCAAGACAAAAGACAAAACTGTTCCTATATAGGCTAAATAAAATGATTTATAAAAAATGCAGTAAAAGTGCATTCCAATCTGCAGTAGCGCCATCTACGAGGGGTGATCAATAAGTAAATGGACGCTTTTTTACACAGATGCTTTTTATAGACAAATCCCTTCGATTTTCTTACCAGTGATACATCATTCAATTATCTATCAACTCTGAAAATTTGAAGACAATATATATATTACATGTTGATATATCTTTATTTCCGTGAAGGAGGTACAGGTACCCCGGGACCGACATTTACGTCACATATTCTGAAGCTATTTTAGATTGTTTAACATGCAATGCAGTTGAATGCAGGCTGAACAATACAAACCATTATGGTCATGAATTACCCCATTTTGTTATGCCATAGTAATAATATAATAATTTTGAATATTTTATCATCACTATGTGGTAATTCATGCCACATTCATTCCACAGGGCCCTCTAAATAGTTTCCATCAAGTGCTACATGTACACAATTCCTCATCCTCTTAACTCAAGATTGTGAGACAAGGCTGAATCCATTCTCTGACATGGTAGCAATATGCAGTTGCACGGGTTGTTTTATTTCATCAATGTCAATAGACCTGCATCCTTTCTCTATAGAAATAAGCAGTGTAGAAATAAACAAGTCACATGTGAGCAGATCTGGACAATATCACGGTGCCCATGTCAAGCTGCGCGCCTACTTAGGCGCGCAGTTTGTTTCGATCACAAACTGCGTGCCTAAGAACATTGGATCATTTAAGTTGGAGTCTGTATTTTGAAACGTTATTTAAAGACATTTATCCTGCATTGTTTTCTTGTTCAATGCGTTCATTCTGTGGCGAATATACGAATCTTGCAAATACTAGCAAAAACTGTGTGCAAATGAATCTTAGTTTTTAAACATAAGCAGATTAATGGCATTTTCGTCACTGATTTAATGGGAATTTATATGTAAATCAATCTAGCACTTTAAACATAAATGACAAATACTTTAGACTCGTTTTATATTTAATTCCTTACACATTTATCATGTTTAATTCAAAATATTTCGAAATAAAACAGATAATCAGGAGATTAAAAAGAAATAAACCACAAACTGCGCGCCTATTTTAGCCAGAAATTACAATCTGTGCGCATACACTATTAAAACTACATATTATCATTGGAATTTCTACATAGGTACGTGTAGGTGTTTTCGATGTAGCTTTGGGAATTTTGCTTTATCGTCAGATTTTATGAGATTTTCATATTGAAAGTCAAAATGTATAATAGAAGTGACAATTAAGTTGGGAACGAAAAAAACATTTATTTTCAGATCACCATCTTAGTGGATGGACTCTCATAGTGTTTCAATTATGGGGTTCTACTATTAGACATATGTGTGCCTTGTATGGCGCTTATGTTTTCTAATAATACAAAACAAGCTTGGATAGGCAAGCAGTTTTGAAATATTAGGCACGCAGTTTGGGAAATACATGTGAATATAGGCGCGCAGTTTGACAAGAAAAATGTTTAAATCACGTTTATGGCGTATTATCGTTTTGAACACAAACTTTGCTGTTTTAATCAGATGGAGTGATCCTATATATTCTAGCATACACAGACACAATGGCTGAATAAACGGCAAATGACGATAAAAAGACTTAGATATTACTTTACACTGTAAATTTTGAACACAGAAGTTACTTAAGACCCTTATATTGAGATAACTAGGTTTACATCGGGAAAAACATTGAGTACTATGAGTAAATTAAGTTCGTCTTCACAGAATGGTACTATCTTTAGAACGAGAAACCTTGTATTTTTCGTATTTTGGCTCTTTTTGGGAGTCGTGTCCTCCCCGTCTCACATTTTGAAATATGCGCGCAGTTTGTCAGAGTTTCAAACTGCGTGCCTAGTAGGCACGCTGCTTGACATGGGCATCGTGAATATGGTGCATTGGCCAAGGGCTCAATTTTGAGGTCGAGGGATATTGTTTTCTGAACATTTTGAGATCTGTGGGCAGATGCATTGTCCATATGGAGTAGGGTGTTCCCTTCTCTCACCACCCCTTTCTTCCACTGAATGCTTTCTCAAATTGACCTGCAAACCCCTTCCATACAACACTCTGACATTACAATACTTTCTGTTTATATGTTACCAGTCAGCAAAAATTTTTAAACAACACAACACTTGTTGCATATAAAACATTCAAATCTAACTGAAATTTACCAAACTGGCTAAAATCTGAATATGTGACGTAAATGTCGGTCCCGGGGTACCTGTTCCTCCTTCACAGAAATAAGGATATATCAATATGTATTACATATCTTGTCTTCAAATCTTCAGAATTGATAGATAATTGAATGATGTATCACTGGTAGGAAAATCAAAGGGATTGGTCTATAAAAAGTAACTGTGTAAAAAAGCGTCCATTACTTATTGATCACCCCTCGTATACATTAGAAAAGACCTGTACTGTTTCACTAATCATTTGATTGAACTTGTTTCAGATTATGTCCACTAACATAGCAGAGACAAGTATAACAATCAACGATGTTGTCTTTGTTATTGATTCTGGAAAGGTAAAAGAGGTGAGTGCCAGAAAGATAAAAGAAATATTTTGATTCGTATTTGCAGAAGGATGATTTGAAGTCAAATTCATAATTATTTTCTACGTTTTTAAAACCAAATTCCACTTTTTGTATTTTATTATATTGTTATTTGCATGCCACAGTTAGCCTTTATTGGTATGAAAATATATATACAGGGTGTCAAATAAGTCCTGTCCCCGCTCTACAGTGAAAACCTTTTTGTAACAAGTGGAAAGCGAAAAAGATTAACTTTTTGACATATTTATGAGGACATATCCTTGTCATTTTGACGCAAAAAAAGCTGCTCAAAGGAGGGTACATTAACTATAGAGGACATCATAAAAATAAAGGTAAATTTTATCCAAAATACTTGAGAGTTGGTGAGTTAACATAAATTTTGATGATCTTTCCATTGGTATATCACACTAGGTAGCGTCTATTAAGGTTTTAGCTGTAGCAGGGGGGACAGGACTTATTTGACACCCTGTATATATATTGAGTTTTATGTTTATGTTTCTTTATTTCCACCTTCAAGATGATCAACTACAATATAAGATTAGTAATTCAAGGAATTAAATCCACAATTAAAGTATAACCAATGAACAATTTATGTTCAGATTCACACTCTACATTTTATTTTTTCATATTGCCTAATCATACATACTAGAGGTCAAGAGGAGGTACATGCAGAAACACCTTCAAATAAAGTTCAGCTCACTAACCCCATAGGCGTAGCCAGGGGGGTGCGATGGGTGCAATTATTTGAAGCTTCTAGCTCAATTTTGAAGGAAGTTGCATCAATTTTTGAAAAATTCAAGATAAATCTTAATTTTTTGGCTTGTTTATGCCACAATCGCACCTCCCTGACTGAAAACCGAAAACAATTTTGGCAATCGCACCCCCCCTGACTGAAAGCTGGCTACGCCCCTGACCCCTATAAAATTTACACTCTACTACCCTATATTAGCCTATTTGCTAAATGAATTGAGGATCATCTAAATTTTTTGATGCCATGCATCTGAATAAATATTACTATTTTGTTTGTATTTTTGTATTCTATATCACAATAATTGTCACATGTAAACTTTTTGGCTCTATCAAATCTTCACCCTTTCAATATCTCTGCGCATTCTAGATGCTATACACATATTTAAAAAATAAATATTACAATAATTATACAAAGTGAAGCAATATACAAGTAGATTTCTGTTAATTATTATTATAATATTAGTATAAAGTTTTAGACAATATTTTGATGTTGTCTAAACATAAGTTTTAATTACATTCAGGGCGTCCCAAATGTATACTCCCATCATCATTAAAAAAACTTTTCACATGAAGAGGAAATCCATTTTTCAAGTAGCAGTTTAAATTGATTGAATTGCTCATGCTCTAAATTGCCTCTATCATGATAGTTGCAGAAATGAATGCAATTTATTACATTGAAAAATTGGTGATTGTACTCAAGCAAGCTTTTCTCCAGACTAAAAAGATGATTGAATTTCAAAAGTTTTCCCCTGCCACTCACAGAGTAATTTCTATGTTAACTTGGTACACTTTTTTGGACACACTGTACACTAGAGGAATCTCCTTTCCTTCAAAAAGTAGTTGAACATTTATTGATATTATCAAATTACACAATACACATAGTAGGGAATACCTTTTAAAAATGTACAGGTAACAAAACTTAATTGGTTTTTGCTCAAATGTTACAGGCTTCATTTCTACACATATTCGAGTTATCATGATCTTTTCCCTATTACTTTGACTAATTGCTCCTTTGTCTATAATTTTACTGGATTTAATTTAGACCATACGTAATATACAGTATAAAAACTTTTGTAAATGCACTAGTTGTATCCTGATAGTAAATTTACAAATTGTGCATTTCCCTAAGACGTAGCTAGGTCAGTATGGTCAGATTTAGAGGTGGTAATGTAAGATCTTCCTCATCTCAAAGTGTACACAAGGGAAAGGGCTTTGGGATGAATGGTCTCTTGATGAATGTACACCGCTATGACCATGCTACGACGTCTTTGTTTTATTTTAAAACTGGTCTTTGTTATAGTAATGACATGTCCCACACTTCTCACTGTTTGTAGTCTTATCAGAGGATGGAAGAGGGTGTTCCCAGAAATTTATTCAATAACAACAGGCCCGTAGCCAGGGGGGTTCACAGGGTTCGGACGAACCCCCCCCCTGGCCAAAAAGTCTTTCAAAATCATGCAGTTTTTCACCATTTTGAGCACTTCTCAAGTGATTTTAGCCATATTTGGGTACACTAAAGTCTTACCCTAAGATAAATTCTATGTAATCACACTCTGACTTCCTGTTTTAAGACAACTATAGAGGGGGAAATAGTTTAATTTTGCAAAGGGTAGGCCTCTGACACAGGCTATTACATGTATGGGTGTCCCAAAAAATGAATCACTTTTTGACATGTGCTTTCTCAGCAATTGATTTCTCAAATTCATTGAAAATTTCTCGAGTAGCCTTAGGGTATCCTTAGTAAGTTGTAGAAAATATGAAACAGATGGATTACATATTATGTGAGTATTGACAAATCCAAAAATGCATGTCAAAAATCAGTCTGAAAGGAGCTGTTTTTTCCAAGCAGAAATGCTTTTGTGTATTTTTCATCAATGTTGCCTCCGATGGTATAATTATCCCATCCTTTAATGTACATTATGTTGGATTTTTTTTTAATAGTATTTATTGCATGAATAATATATTACAATTAATAAAGTGTAATAATGTCAATCGCCCTGAGACATTACAGACATATTCACAAATGGATAAAATACATACAGGCAATAACTTGATTGGAAAATAAGTGTAAAAAAAGAATTAAAAAATGTGATAAAATGAATGAGTATGAAGAATGAAATGATGATGGTGAAGGTGACACTAGGACATGAAAAGGATGACAAAGTCTGATCAACCTCTGTTTGATGATTCTATAAAATCTGAAATTGCGTGTGCCAGAGATTCATTTGTTTTGAAATTCATTTTATTAGAATTTCCAAACAGAAGTAATTTAACTTTGTTTGTCATATTCATTTGATTGAAATTATCAAACACATTGAATTTTGCAAGCTCTGCGAAAAGTTTGTTCCGATGGGGGTTGTATAGGGTGCAATTGAGAAGGAAATGTTTGCTGTCTTATATTTTATTTCCACATGAACAAGCTGGGGATAAGACTGAATTAAAATTGTGAGCAAAGAAGTGAGCATTTAGAAATAAATCAACCCTAAGTCTATTTAAGGCGATTTCTTTCTTTCTTGAGATAAGCATTTTTGTAGTTGGAATGATACATGAATATATATTTTAATCTTGAATGGAATTCTTAAGGCGATATTTAAAATGCAAGAATCGACATGGCATTATGTTGATTTCACCTTGTCTTTAAGCATGTCAAATCTAAGGCCATTTTCAGCTCCCAATTACTATTGATATTACTGAATAGAATTCTTAAATTATCAGGGTCTGGATTTGGATGAATATCTCCACATGTTAAAATTGTTGAGACATTAGGAAAGAAAACCAAGGAAGAGATACCTGGTACAAGTGTCAAAGTTGCCAACATAGAACATATATAGATTAGTAGTTTTATATTGAAATAAAAGTACCTATGCTGTAAAAAGTACATTGACATTGTCAATGTTAATTCTCGAAATCGCTGTTCCCTCTTCAAAAGAGGAGACGCCAAAATCTTTCCTTATAAGGTCAAAATATTTCCCATGATGCAGTTCGCGGAGGAACAAATTTATACTTCCTTGTTTTCCCTCATAGGTTTAACATGGGGATTTTCACACCTATTTTTCAAATGATATACTCGTTCATATTCCCGTATGAGAGTACAGAAAAAATTATTAGAAACGATTGATCTCTTATTAATCTCTTATTAATCTTAATATAACAGCTATTTTTTCCATTGTATTGATTCATAGCGTGGTGAAAACAATGATTGAAAAGTGAGAAAATATTCTGGAAGAGAAGGTCACGTGATCAGTTGACTAGTCGCCATATTGGAAAAACAATTCCATTTGACTTTCAATACTTTCATGCCAATCTTACTGCACTACAAACTGCACCATCGATGCAACAACTGAATAAAAGTATTCATCTTCAAATTACATTATATAGTTAAGTTGAAAACCCACAAACAACTGAGCAGTAGACCAAAGAAGATGCGTCGCTATTATCTAGGTCAATCTGTTCAGTGGTCTGAAAGCAAATCTATAGTACTCGTTTCCGAATTTTGTTGTTCATTGTACAATCTTGATTAAGAACTTTCGGGTCACACAAATAGCTACGCGAAATGCATAGTGGGAAAATATTGACCAATCAAATTTTGTCCTTTTTGAGTGCTTTTTCAGGACAAATTTGCGAACGTTCTGATTCAAAGAACAAACCGCGAAAGGGAGAATTGGGTCAGAGCAGTCATTATCAAATAATATAAGGCACCAAAAGTGAATAAATCGTTATCATATCCACACGTGTGAATATGGTCATGAGGATACCCAAAATAGAGATATAGTACAATGTACCCTTGCTATCTAATGGTGTTTGGTCCTTTCTGATTAGACAAGATTTAAAAATGATCTGTTTTAAGGCATTAAAAATCCCAATCTGCACCCTATGGCTGTTGTAACATACTGGCATAATTAACCGATTCCATGTCTTTCACAGTAGCCTGCACAATTAAATGTTGGTAAGATGATCTGGATGATAAGAGCGCATGATGATATGGGGATGATATGAAGCAGTCCCATTTATAGGACAGTGTAAGATTTGCATATTGTCTAACTCTTACCCTTATTTCCTTTATGATTGATCTTCCACCGAAACCTTTCACCCTAAAACAATTTTCATGTTTACTCCCTAAATGCTCTGTTTATTTCTTTTTATAATCTCCTTGTGATGGGATTGAAATATTTTTTATCAGAGGGGGACATTCATATATCGAGTGTCCCAAAAAATGAATCGCTTTTTGACAAGAGTTTTTTCAGCAACTGATTACTCAAATTTTGAAATTTCCATAAAGTAGCCTTAGGGTATCATTAGCAGTTGTACAAATGTGAAAGAGATTGGTCACATAGTATGTGAGAAATGACAAATTCAAAAAAATGCATGTCAAAAAATCCAACATCAGAGCTGCACAATGAGACTTCATTGCCTTTGTGCCTCGTATCAGGGGTTTAGGTTTATGTCAGGTTTATTGATTTGTTTCATTGTTCTCTGTTTTCAAAATATGTTCTGTCTCAAAAAGACCATGTGCAGTAAAATGTTGACATGGGGTCCCTATTCATAATTTTTCGAATTGTTTGATTTATATTTTTATCATCATGGGTACTTCACTTGAAAGAAAACATATTGTTTTAATGAAAACCCAGAATATGCCCAGAAAGTACTCATGGTGAAAGATATGACCATCTAAAATCACTTGCCATACTGCTCATGGTCTTTTCAGTTTTGAGGGATAAACAATGCATTCAAGTGATAAGCGCTAAGGCTACTATTGAAAATTGTTTCAGGGTGAAAGGTTTAGGTGGAAGATCAATCATAATTATGTCCCCACCACATAGTGTGTGTATTGTCGGCCTAGGGGCGTACGACTGTCTGTCCGTCCGTCCGTCCATACGTCCGGGAGTTTTCTCCAAAACCGCTACAGATATCACCTTCAAATTTTCAGGGATAACTTATGAGTGCCTATAGATGTGGATAAAAAAAATTTAACTCGAAACCTTCTTCCTGTCGGCCATTTTGAAGTCAAATGCTAAAATCCTTGTCTGTTAACTTTAAGAAAAACTGCTTCACAGTTGCTTTTAAAACTTTAACATCTTGTTCAGCTCACTTCATTCTAGATCTGATTAGGTTTTGGACCTGCTAGCTCAGTCATGTCAGCCATTTTGAATGTCTTAAGAAAAGTTAGCGCGCGATAATACTTTGTATCATATTGAATGGTGTTTTTGAGTTTTCATGCTTTAACTATTTATTAGCTTTATAAATAATTTCAGATGTACTTTGTTGTAAAAGCCTACTTTATTGTTAACAGTAGTAAAATGTGATAGTTTTGTAAAAAAAAATCAGCAAAAACCCATAAGGACTTTTTTATTGTCAGCCATTTTGAATTTTTCGGTCCTAAAATCTTGTCTATGAAGTCTTGTCTGTGCGTTTTCAGGTGAACCGTTTGGTGGATCAATTCCAAATTTTCAGGGATGATTCTTAGTATGAAAATCTAGATCTCATTAGTTTTTTGGCGTTCTGGGTAAATGTCAAGGCAGCCATTTTGGATTTTCCGTCCTAAAATCGTGTTTGTAAAGTCTTGTCTACTCGTTTTCAGGTGAACTGTTTGGTAGATCAATTTCAAATTTTCAGGAATGATTCTTAGTATTGAAATCTAGAACTGATTAGTTTTTTTTGCATTCTGGGTAAATGTCAAGGCAGCCATTTTGGATTTTCCGTCTTAAAATCTTGCCTGTAAAGTCTTGTCTACGCGTTTTTAGGTGAACGGTTTGATAGATCAATTTCAAATTTTCAGGGATGATTGTTTGTATGAAAATCTACATCTGATTAGTTTTTTGCATTCTGCGTAAATGTTAAGGCAGCCATTTTGGATTTTCTGTCCCAAAATCTTGTCTGTAAAGTCTTGTCTACCCGTTTTCAGGTGAACCGTTTGGTAGATCAATTTCATATTTTCAGGGATGATTCTTAGTATAAAAATCTACAAACAGATAATTTTTTTGACATTCTGGGTAAATGTCAAGGCAGCCATTTTGGATTTTCCATCCTGAAATCTTGTCTGTAAAGTCTTGTTTACATTTTGTCTACCCGTTTTCAGGTGAACCGTTTGGTAGATCAATTTCATATTTTCAGGGGTGGTTCTTAGTATGAAAATCTAGAACTGACTAAATTTTTGGCATTCTGGGTAAATTTTAAGGTGGCCACTTTGGATTTTCCGTCCTCAAATTGTGTTGGTAAAGTCTTGTCTACTCATTTTCAGGATAACCATTTGACGGGATCACCACTTGGTGGGGACATTTTGTTCACATTTGTGTTCTTGTATTATATTTACATAAGTGATTTGACTATGTTTTACCGCATGCATACTTTGCCACCAAGATGATTATTTGTTCACATATATTTTCAATTAACTGAATGTCTATTTGAACCTAGGAGAGTTTCAACTTCTTCATCTCCGTTTAATAATTGACAAGATGAGCTCACATCTAATACATTCGTAATATTATCAAAAAGATGATCTCATTCCATCATTAGAGATCTCTGTATTCATGATCACCCTGACATAATGTACATTTAACAGTGACTGGTTGATCTTCAGTTGATGACAGTTGAAGAAGACTTGCCAAAGGCCACAATAAAGCTGGGTATTGTTTCCCTAGCACATAATATATACTTGGTTCTAATTGTGTGTGGATATTTGCAAATCTTTGGAGACGAAGATCGTCGTGAACCTGACCTTAATACAACTGATTTGCCGACTCTTGGATGTTACATTTAATTCTAAATTTCCATATATCTTTGGGTACTTTTTGACCATGACTGATATACCTTCCAATAAATACGGGTATTTACTCAAAATGTTTTTAATATCTGGAATGAAACCATCAGATTTCCTTGAACAGGACATCCGCACAATATAACTGCTAATTCTTGATATAAATATATGTCTCTGCACAGATTTTTCAGATGAATTAATCAGTCTGTTAAAAAATAAGAGCTTTGTTTTTTCAATATATTGTTCCATTGTTATTAGGCCAAGCGCCCCGATAGCTGCAACTGATGGTGTTTTCCGTGGAAAGCCCTGAGAAAATATTGTAATTTTGAATTGTTTGGTAATTAAAACCACATTCTAGCCTAATATCCCACTTACTTCTCCATACATATTCTCTCAAAATCAGAGTGGGAGAATTCTGAAGAGCTGGACTAGAGATTTAGATCTAATTTCCATCACAAAAATTGTCTGACGAGTTGGATTATCCGAATCTACCTGGAATGCAAAGCATTATGTGAGCTTATGCTGTAGATCACCTGATAGATCAGCATCTAATTGCAATTTCGACTAGATTGAGTTGATGGGGTAGATTTTACCTCTTGCAATATCAATTGACTTCTCGGGCTACTGAGCACTTTTTCATGTTTTATCGATAACATGAAATGATTTGCCTTTGTAAGAGGTGAGTTAGATTTAGGTCTGACATATCTTAGCTAAACTACTGTTTTATCAAAAAATCGCAAAATCTACAATATTTTCTCAAGTCACTGTAAAACTACCGCATTGATTCAAAACTTGACCTAAAAATTACCGCGTTTTATCAAAATTTACCGTAAAGCGACAGCCCTTTTTCAAAACCTTCTGCAAAACTACCAGTTTTTCAAAAATCGACCGCAAAAGCTAGCGTATTTTTTGTCAAAATGCAAAATTACAGTTTTTTTCAAAAATCTACCTCAAAAACTACCGCATTCACCACATTTTTTTAAAATCTTCCGCAAAACTACTGGTTTTTCAAAAATCTACTGCAAAAACTTCCGTTTTTTTTAAATCTACAGCTAAAACTACCGCATTCTTTCAAAATCAACTGTAAAACTAACACATTTTTTAAAATCTTCCATAAACTACTGGTTTCAAAAATCTACCGCAAAAACTACCACATTGTTGTTGAAAAGTATGGCAAAAATTACCGCATTTTGAAAAAATCTACCGCAAAAATACAGCAATTTAAAACAAATCTACCACAGTTTTTTGGTCTTAGTTTGTCAGGTATGGAAATCGAGGCTATGTGTTAAGGGTATTGAAATTTGATGCCAATTACAGCATTAGTTTACAGTCCTGAATCCACTTTGCAGTATGTTCGACATGTGGGTGGGTCTCATCGTTGAATACAGTCATACTCATCTCATATGACTTATTGAAAAAATCTAATGATGTTATGTAATCATTTCTGTGATAGTAGACTACACCAATACAGGCTAAAGAGGCAGCTACATCTGGGTGTGGAGCATCTCCATGTACCTGCCTCTTCATCTCCAAACTCTCAGTGAAGTACTTTAGAGCTCTATTGTAATCACCTTTAGCCTGTGAGATATTACCTAGTTCATGTAAAGAGGCAGCTACATCTGGGTGTGGAGCATCACCATGTATCTGCCTCTTCATCTCTAGGCTGTCAGTGAAGTACTTTAGAGCTCTATTGTAATCACCTTTGGCCTGGTAGATATTACCCAGTTCATGTAAAGATACAGCTACCTCTGAATGTGGAGCATCACCATGTATCTGCCTCTTCATCTCCAAACTGTCAGTGAAGTACTTTAGAGCTCTAATATAATCACCTTTAGACCGGTAGATATTACCTAGTTCATGTAAAGAGACAGCTACATCTGGATGTGGACCATCACCATGTATCTCCCTTTTCATCTCCAGACTGTCAGCGAAGTTTTTGAGAGCTCTATTGTAATCACCTTTAGCTTGGTAAACTGAACCTAGCTGGTGTAAAGAGGCAGCTACATGTGGGTGTGCAGCATCACCATGAATCTGTTTGTATATCTCTAGGCTGTCACTGAAGTACTTTAGAGCTCTATTGTAATCACCTTTAGCATTGTAGACTATACCTAGCTCATGTAAAGAGACAGCTACCTCTGGATGTGGAGCATCACCATGTATCTGCCTCTTCATCTCCAAACTGTCAGTGAAGTACTTTAGAGCTCTAATATAATCACCTTTAGACCGGTAGATATTACCTAGTTCATGTAAAGAGACAGCTACCTCTGGATGTTGACCATCACCATGTATCTCCCTTTTCATCTCCAGACTGTCAGCGAAGTTTTTGAGAGCTCTATTGTAATCACCTTTAGCTTGGTAAACTGAACCTAGCTGGTGTAAAGAGGCAGCTACATGTGGGTGTGCAGCATCACCATGAATCTGTTTGTATATCTCTAGGCTGTCACTGAAGTACTTTAGAGCTCTATTGTAATCACCTTTAGCATTGTAGACTATACCTAGCTCATGTAAAGAGACAGCTACCTCTGGATGTGGAGCATCACCATGTATCTGCCTCTTCATCTCCAAACTGTCAGTGAAGTACTTTAGAGCTCTAATATAATCACCTTTAGACCGGTAGATATTACCTAGTTCATGTAAAGAGACAGCTACCTCTGGATGTGGAGCATCACCATGTATCTGCCTCTTCATCTCCAAACTGTCAGTGAAGTACTTTAGAGCTCTAATATAATCACCTTTAGACCGGTAGATATTACCTAGTTCATGTAAAGAGACAGCTACCTCTGGATGTTGACCATCACCATGTATCTCCCTTTTCATCTCCAGACTGTCAGCGAAGTTTTTGAGAGCTCTATTGTAATCACCTTTAGCTTGGTAAACTGAACCTAGCTGGTGTAAAGAGGCAGCTACATGTGGGTGTGCAGCATCACCATGAATCTGTTTGTATATCTCTAGGCTGTCACTGAAGTACTTTAGAGCTCTATTGTAATCACCTTTAGCATTGTAGACTATACCTAGCTCATGTAAAGAGACAGCTACCTCTGGATGTGGAGCATCACCATGTATCTGCCTCTTCATCTCCAAACTGTCAGTGAAGTACTTTAGAGCTCTAATATAATCACCTTTAGACCGGTAGATATTACCTAGTTCATGTAAAGAGACAGCTACCTCTGGATGTGGAGCATCACCATGTATCTGCCTCTTCATCTCCAGACTGTCAGTGAAGTTTTTTAGAGCTCTATTGTAATCACCTTTAGCATGGTAGACTGAACCTAGCTCATGTAAAGAGACAGCTACCTCTGGATGTGGAGCATCACCATGTATCTGCCTCTTCATCTCCAGACTGTCAGTGAAGTTTTTTAGAGCTCTATTGTAATCACCTTTAGCTTGGTAAACTGAACCTAGGCGGTGTAAAGAGGCAGCTACATGCGGGTGTGGAGCATCGCCATAAATCTGTCTGTATATATCTAGGCTGTCAGTGAAGTATTTTAGAGCTCTATTGTAATCACCTTTAGCCCAGAAGATATTACCTATTTCATACAAAGAGACGACTACATCTGGGTGTGGAGCCTCACCGTGTATCTGCCTGTTCATCTCCAGACTGTCACTGAAGTACTTTAGAGCTCTAATGTAGTCACCTTTAGCCTGGAAGACATTACCTAGTTCATGCAAAGAGTAAGAGACATCTGGGTGTGGAGCATCACCATGAATCTTTCTATTCATCTCTTGACTGTCAGTGAAGTACTTTAGAGCTCTAGAGTAATCACCTTTGCCATTGTAAATTAGACCTAGCTCATGTAAAGAGGCAGCTACTTCTGGGTGTGGAGCATCACCATGAATTAATTTTCTGATTTGAAGACTTTCTTTAGAGTAAGTTAAAGAAATGTTATGCTTGCCTGTACTCCTATATAAAGTTCCCAATGTGTGTTTTATGTCACCCTTTTGTTGTAAAGTACCCTTAACTTGTACCGAATCACATTCTTTTTCAAATGCTTCAATTGCACTGTCAAAAATATTCATGTTTTGAAAAATGTTCCCTTTAATATTATTTGAATTTTCAAAATACCTTTTTTTCCAGTTCCGATTGTCAGAGTCTTTTCGATTGCCTGTTTTAAATCCAACCGTAAGAAAATCTAACCAAGGCTTAAAGGTGTAATAAAATCGAAATATTGCACTATAATCACGAACTGACATTGATTTTGATGGATCATCATCATCTTGTGGTCGGGTGAAGCAGATATCATCATGCTGTCTGTTATATCTGCTATATACTAAGTGGCGAAGGTTTATAGCAATGCAAACCATGAGTTTTAGGTCTCTACAAGCCTTTGGTTCAATTATACCCTTCTTTTCAAGTTCACTAAGGATATCAAGGGGGGCATCAAATTTGCATCCATATATTAATTTCAATGTATTGACAGATATTGTTGCAAACCTATAGATATCCTTTTTGGTATGTATTTGGGAGGAGAGGGATTTTGGTGTGAAAGGATGTTTAGAAAAGTTCTCAAGGTCTTCTTTCATTGTCTCAATACCTCGTTCATAAGCTATTGACTTCTGGGATTCCTTTGATGAAGAAGCAAGGATTTGATCAATCATGGATGTGTATTCATCAACTAACTCTACATCCCCATGAAGGAGAGTCTTTGACTGGAGGACATCACTTAGATGATAGCCCTCCTTCTCTGACTTGTCCTCCTGTTGGCACTCAGCCATCTCTGATGGGGTCATTATGAGTTCAATGGGTTCAGGTCTGTTTGCAGTGGCTTTGCGGCCAAGTGGAGTCTTGCTTGCCCATGGAGAGGCACCATCAAATGAGATGCCCTGGGGTGTAATGTCATCATAAAAGTTATTATCTTTTACTCCCCCAAGAAGCTTATTGTGATCATTGAGAACTGGGATGCTAAGACAGTAAGGAAGTGTTTCAGCTAGATTAAGGATTTTGATATGAACATAGTGGGCAAGCACTCTGAAATATGCCTTGATATCTTCAATTTGTTTTGTGGATTTCCCAGTTGGGTCATACAGTACTGAAAACTCTAAGTCTGACCAGGCTGTTGCTTCTTTACGAGCCAACGAGCCATGACCTAAGATGGCATATCTACATTGAGGGAAACCTAAAACCTTCATACAATCTTCAATAACTGCAAAATGAAAACCTTTTATCCTGTCAGTGACCTCATTATAAAATACATTGCTTTCTTCAATTGTTTGAATTTCGTCTTCTTCACTCATGTCTGCTGTGACAGACAAATCTATTTTCATAACATTCTTATGAATATGGTTGATAATGTTTGTCTCATATTCACGCACCTCATTTATCAGTGACCTTAACTTCACAACACTTTCAGCTGTTGACATATCTATAACCTTTGGGGTACTTGGAACTTTCTTTAAAAATTCTGTCTCTATAACCTGGAGTCTTTCTTTAATATAAGTTTCATGACTACCTGCAGTGTTTTCATGATTGTCATTGTCCTTTTGGATCTTTTGGTATCTCCTCAGTGCAGCATTTAGGAGGCAACATGCTTTTGTAAAGTACCAGCCTTCAGGTGATGTTTCAGTGAGCTTGAGGTATTCTTCAGCCAGCGTACACATGTCTTTGGCCTGTTGTTCTATCTGTTTGCTGTTCTTTTTCTCTTTGCCATATTTAGCAATTTGCTGGCCTAGTCTGTACATGTAGGTAGATGTTTCTGAATTAAAATAGCATTTTTTTGTTTATTTAAAAGTACTACAACACACAAATTGTGATAAATATGTAACAACGATGTCCAAAGAGGAAAAATGTCTGTTTCATTCAAATTTTACATGCTGATGGCTAGGGACAAAGGAGCTTTGCCCAAGAAGACATTTTCAAGATGGCTGCTGAATTTCAAATTGGCCACCATTTTTTGTAAAAGAACTTAATCTTTCAAATACCAGTAGACAGATTTCGTTCAAATTTTATATGGTGACGCCTAGGGAGACTGGAGCTCTGCTTGATAAGGAATTTTTAAGGTGGCAGCTAAATTTCAAAATGGTCGCCATTTTTCTTAAAAGAATGTAATCTTTGATAACTCAAATACCAGTTGACGGACTTCGTTCAAAGGGAGGGTGGGATAATTGGCTAATACCTCCATGGTCAAAATAAATCATTCTTAGGAGTAACATGAAGAATAATATTTAAGTGCTTGGGCACACATAGGCTGAGATAAGGGTCATTTAGTTCAGTAAGGTTGTGTTGACCTATATGGGGCTGTGCACCATTTACTTAACATGGGGATATCAGCGTATCCCAATAGAGGCCATTGGTTTCCATTGATTATCACAAAAATCCCCAAAAATCCCTATAACCTGAATTGATTGCAAATTTCATAATTTCACAATATGACACAAATGGTTTATCACATTAAATGTGCAAATATGAAGTTTGGAATCGATTCAGGTCATACATATATAAAAGATTGTACATTTTTTCATTATTTTTTCCCTACAAAATGGCTATAGAAAAATGCTCCAAAAACAGCATTTACACTTATCAAATATCATACAACTTTGTAAAACCAAAGATTATACTATTATATTTTATTATTTAGTAACATATTTGGATAAGATGTAGGGATGCGTATGATGCAAATTAATTTTGATAGACACAAAATACTTCCTGGTTTGGAACCTATGCCTCTCACTTCAAGATGGAATTATGACCCTAATAAGTGGCCTATACATCAATACAGTGCTGAATATAGGTCAACAAGATACTAATGTGCATACTGCATACTCATTTTTAAAAATCAGATGAATTATTTTTTTTCATGGGAGATCATAATATTGAGAGTGCGCTACTTTCTTTTATATGCTGATGCCTAAGCTATGTTCACACCAAAGGCGAATGCCACGCTTTAAATCGGCGAGCAAAGCGGCACCAAAGCATGGCGCTTTAAAGCGACTTGTAAAGCGGCACCAAAGCGTAACAAAGCTTGCTTTAAAGCGTGGTGTCGTATTAGGTCGTAGAAAAGCTCGGAATAAAGCGGGATGTTCGGCTAGAGCGCCAAAAATTTTTAAACTGTTTAAAAATTTTGGGCGCTCAGTTACGAATTGATTAAAGCGCCGAGAGCTTATCAAAGCTTAAGAAACCATAACAAAGCTCAGCAAAGCTTGACCCAAAGCGTAGGAAAGCTTAACAGAGCTTGGTTCAAAGCGGGGACCCCAGTCTCTTCACGGTCTGTTACCACTTGACACGCTTCGTTTAGATGTCTCAAGCTTTGCTACGATCTGGCATGAAGATCTGACATGAGGTCAGACGCTTGCATCAATATCTGACACTCTTTGTTACGCTTTCATTAAGGACTTCAAGCTTTTTAACAAATTGCGACGCTTTAATCAAGGATTGAAACGCTTTGTTGCACTTGACAAGCTTCCTCACGCTCTCTCACGCTCTTTTAAGCCATGCGACTAACATCATGTCTTCATCAGATAGGTCATGATCTGGTCCATCTGGAATTTCTGGATCTTGTTGTTCTGCCATCGTCTTCTCGAGTCAAAAATACAATGGTTTTATGGATCTACTGCATCTTTATACAGCCATTTGATCAAAAGCGTCATGATAAAGGCGATCTCGAAAATGCACAACATAGCTTGGCAATCGTATCAGAGCCTGATTAAAGCGTCATAATCGCATCAAAGTGTAATAATGCTTACCAAAGCTTATCAAAACGTGATTTTAAGCGTAACAAAGCCTGGCCGAAGCGGGATCATAGCATGAGGAACCGTAACAAGTCGGGAAATCAGAGCGTATCAGAGCTTATCAGAGCGTGATAGTACTTAGGAGATCGTGATATTTTTGGAAATGCAAACAAAATGACGGCGCTTTGCTCGCCGATTTAAAGCGTGGCATTCGCTGTTGGTGTGAACGTAGCTTTAAAAATGTTTGGCGCTCTTGCCGAATATCCCGCTTTACTCCGAGCTTTTCTACGACCTATTACGACCCCGACGCTTTAATCAAGCTTTGTTACGCTTTGGTGCCGCTTAACAAGCCGCTTTAAAGCGCCATCAAAGCGCCGTTGGTGTGAACGTAGCTTAAGGGACAAAGGAGCTTTTTTCAAGAAGAGATCATGTTTTACCGATAGATCTTCTGGTGCCTCCTCATAAAAAAATTGCATTAATTCATCGAAATCAGGAAATCTCCGGGGAAATCTATTTCATCCATTTTTATGATTTTGAAGAAAGGTACCCTGGTGTTTTGAAAGTAGTCCCAGCGCTTGACAAATCAGAAAGTTAGCGGGCATAGGCTTTTCAAAAGTTGAATTGGCCCACTGTGAACAGTTTACTGGTTTACTTGACTGGTATGCACTAAGAGTTTGCTTTTTCTTGCTACGTTCCATTACAACTTTTGGTCCTTTCCCTTTGGCACTAGTGCTTATATAGTTACATCAGGGGTTTCCTTAAGGTACAAATTGCCACTGGACAATATGTCCAGTAACTTCGAAAATCTACTGGACCAGCCAAATTTTTGCTGGGGAATTTTTTTTCGATATTTTGGAATTTTTTAGTTTGTTTTAAGCACTAAATGGTGTGTACTCTTAAATATTATGTTCTATTCCTATGAATATGACTGGTTTTCATAGTCCACTCTAATGGAATGA